CTCCGGCGTGCGCGGCGATACCCAACATGTGTAGCGCGTTCGTCGTTTTCATACGTAGCCGCACCCGACGCGTGTTTACGTGGCTCACGGGGGCGGGGGACTTTTACATTTTTTTTTATTATTATTAGATTTTTTTAATTTTAATTTAAAAAACTTTATTGAAGTGCAGATCGCTGCAGACCACACTGAACATTGACCATGGGCGACGATTGAAGCGATTTTCCCGCCCGTCGGCTTTGCGTCGTCGGCGATTGACGGGCCGGGCATGATTGCTCTCACTGTGACGTTCGCGGCGATATGGGACATGTGCGGCATCGTCGTTTTCGCACGTAGGCGCACGCGTGTGTGTATAGGGCGGGGACTTTACAAAAATAAATTTGATGTGTGGCTTTCATTTTTTTTTTGCAACTTTCATTTTTTTTCACTTAACTTCATTGTAATCACATAGACGGCCAAGAAACCCCCCCATGTGATAGCAAAGAGGATGTGACAGGTCCTCTTTATGGAGACATTAGGGGTCTCCAAGACTCCTAATGTCACCTAGGGACCCCAGAGAAGCTGATGAAGCCGAGATCTCCTTCACCGGCTTCTCTTCCAGCGTCTGAAGCTGGAGAGTGACACGAGAAGGCAGGAAGTGATGTAACATACATCACTTCCTGCATTCGGGGACCGGAGGGAGATTGTGTACCGATCCCCCTCTGATCCCCTGTCACAGAGCCACCATGCTGGTCCCAGGCTCACAACGGAGCCCGGGACCAGCGGGAGGGGGGGCTGCGTAGGGAGGTGCTCCGATCGGCACCCCATACAAGCGTTGTGGGAGGGACAGAGACACAAACTACTGGAGGAAATCTCACCATTGTGGGAGGGGCAGAGACACATACTACTGGGGGAAATCTCACCATTGTGGGAGGGGCAGAGACACAAACTACTGTATGAGCAGATTATTTCCTTGGAATATAGTACAGTGGTTAGAGGACATGTTGTGAGTTGTAGTCCTCCAAACTATCTAATTACATTAAAGTCTTAACTGCCTCACCTTTCCCGCGCGTCTCCTCCTCGCATCACGTGATTACTTAGCTGGCGCTCACTGATTGGATCAAGCAGAGCATGTGCCACGAGCAGCGATAGGACTCTATATTCCGTTCAAAATAGAAATACGGCTTCGTTTAACTTTATTGTCTTATGTAGCTGATTCAGTGCAGACAGTGCCCAATAAAAATGATAATTATTATTCGTGATATATGACATGAGCAGCGCGCGAAGATGGCAGCCATGCTTACCTTGGGCAAAATTAAAAAGCAGCAGCTATATCTAGCAGCGCTGTATGTAGCAGAGACTATATAATTGCAGTTTTAATAAACTATGAAGATTAAAAGGATATAATATAATAGGGAATGGCCCCAAACGACTCGTAACACTTAGAAGTGTTCCCGGGACAAAGATGGCGCAGGAGGTACGGTCACATGTTGGTGTGTGACAGAAGGTGTCGCTACGTGATTGGCTGACTACAGGTCTCTTCCGGTGAGGTGGAGGAGGCCGTTGTAGACCGGGATAATGGCTGCTCCCCTGTGCTCCATTCTGCTGCTGCTCTTCGCCGTGACCCTGGGGCCCGGGGCCCTAGCCGGCCCCCGCACTCTGATATTGCTGGAGAACGTCAACCTCAAGGAGACACACTCACTCTTCTTCCGCAGCCTGAGCGGTGAGACCCGGTTACTGCATGCTGACACCCGATATATACTGACACATCATCTACTGCCCATCATAGTGACACCCTGTCTTCTATTGCATACTGCCCATCAGAGGGACCCCCATCATCTACTTCCCATCATAGGGACCCCCATCATCTACTGCCCATCATAGGGACCCCCATCATCTACTGCCCATCATAGGGACCCCCATCATATGCGGCCCATCATAGGGACCCCCATCATCTACTACATACTGCCTATCACCGTCTGCATACTGACAAGTCGCTGGGTCAGAGCCCCACTTGCTCCATACTTCTATACATTCTACTGCCACATTACCAGGCCAACATGGAGGGCTCCATTCCCATTACCCAGCACAGTGGCCTCCTACCCCAATCGTCGTACATCCTTCCTCGCACATGACGGGCCTTATCCTCCTCTCCACCGTCCTCCTATATATCCCTCCTATATATTGCATATCCACACCGCCCCTCCCCCCTTGTCCCTGGACCCCCATGTCAGCA